TATGTTTGAACCATGAATGTCATTATAGTCAAAGCTATCAGTTTGATTGAGCCGTTGAGGTAATTTATTTCATTAAATGTGGGAAATTTAACACGACAAGGTAAAAAAATCAAATCTCATATCAAACTAAAAAAAAAAAAAGCATAAAACCAAGAATCGAAAGCCCTACATTAATCAAAGAGGCTAAACAAAAAGAAAAGAATCAAAGAGGCTAAAGGAGTTAGTCAAAACTGAGGAATGGGGAAGATGGTGAACTTCATGTTGTGGTTGCTGCAATAGTTACCTTCATTCTCCCCCGATTGTAACCAAACACATATCAACTTATATTCTTGAACCATGCGATGTCATTAGAGACTATAATTGGTTTTTATAAATATTAACATATCCAAACTAATTCGAGTTTTTTGGGTTGGATTGGGTTGGGTACGTTAACCGAATTGGCCACCCTTAATAATAGTCAAAGCTATCACTTTGGTTGAACCGTTCATTGAATGAACGCCTTTCAAATGTTGGAAACTTAACTTTATGAGGTAAAAAACCAATCTCATATAAAACAATTATTAAAAAAACATAAAACCCCAAAAACCAAGAATCAGAAAAACCTAATTAATACATGTAACGAAAAGAAAAAAGCAAAGAGGCTAACTAAAGGAGTTAGTCAGAATGGTGAGGAATGGGGAAGATGGTGAACTTCATGTTGTGGTTGCTGCAATAGTCACCTTCATTCTCTCCCGAGGCAAAGAAGTAAGGCTGAAGTTTGTTTAGCGTAAACTTGAAGCTTTCTTCTGATCCTTTCTTCGTTGAACCAATCTTCTTTGCATTCTTAATGTTGCAGTTCATGTAACTCCATGGATCTTGGAACAAATACACATTGTTCCTACGCTTGGCATGTTTGTCGTACTTGAAAACTACACCATTAACAAAATGAATTATTCATTAACAACAAATATTAATGTTGATATTAAGCTATATAATATAGTGTGTAATAAAATCAATAACTCACCAAGAACATCATCGATGTAAAAAGGAGCATTCTTGGAAGCCCATTCATTGTAATTCAAACCTTTTGTCCATCCGTCAGATCCTCCCACTACGATCTTTCTTGGTGCTTTATTATCCGAATCCAAAACCGAACCCGAACCAGAACTGCTTGAATTGTTGTTGT